AGTTTGGTGTTTTTTTTTTGGGGGGTGGGGGGGGGGGGGGGTGGGGGGGGGGGGTTATTTTATTATAATATGTCCTACTATAGAGCCCTGAAAATGGTTGAGCGCGACATGTGATACACTGCAGCATAACACACAAGCTTAGGGAAAGGGAAGACAAAATGAGATAGCAAGAAGAGCAAGCAGAAAATACAAAAGAATGAGTTACCACCCATGCCCAACGTGCCACCATTTATACTGCCAAAGAAAAGGTGTTAGGGTTGAATCAGGGGTTAGGGGCTGCCAATATCAACATTAACCCCACATGGGCTTCTTTTCAAAAGCAGCAAAAACAAGAAAAACAGAAGTGGTGAAGGACTACTTAGGTGCAGCATAATCACCTAGTTTGTTTGTACTTATATTTTGTTTTAGTTCTAAATGAAATACACTCTTCAAACTACTCCTGCACTACTACACAATAAGCATGGGGTCCTTCCACTTGGATTGCCATCAAATTTAATGAGTCGTCAAGGACCACACAACCTTTGGGTATAGTTGTTTGGGAGGAGTTTGGAAATTATAGTCACTAGTCTTCATTTATCCTCTGCTTCTTCTCCCTTACAGTACTAGAACAACGACTTGGCCCTGTAACAAGTTTCACATATACAGTCTAGTCCACATACATCTATACAGCACCATATACTGTAATTTACAACAGGAATAGAGTTTCATTAATCTATTTGAAATGCCTAGCCAATCCAATATTCTTGGTTTCAGGCTTATAAATATGTTTAATGTTTTCTTAACTTTGTTTTTAACATATATTTGTATACAAGTTCGTATAGCAAATCCATTATATTTACCCTTCGCCTGCAAGCCCTGTACTATTTCTTAGACTCATACAATTATGCATGAGTACTTAATTGTACTAGATTAAGTTGCAGAATGAATAAGGTAGGTTTTTTTTTTACCATGCAATAACTTACTTTCTTAGACTTATTTCAATACCCTCCCTTGTCATAGTTTCCTTTGACAGGGCATTCACTCCAATTCAAAGGGTTAATGCCATGTTGACATCCTATTGTTCTTCTTCTTATTTAATTGTGAAATATTTTATTGGAGCCTAGTCCTCCATAGCCAGATTCATTTTAATTTGAAAGGCTCAGGCATAAGAAGAACGCAACAATATATGAAATAAAGTTGTAACAATGACTTCAGAAACTATCTCAGCATAGACAACTACAAGCAAGCTTGAACACACAAATCGTAAAAGAGTCAAAAAAGAGAAACAAAAGGAAGACACTTCCAATATATTGTACAGTAGAGCTTGCTAAAGTACCATTTTTTCTTGACACCTCAAAAATTTATGGTGGGAATCTTGAGGATTCAATCTAGAATCAAGGAGAGGAACGTAAGGATATAAATGCTACAATACCACAACCTGAATTGGATATCCATTGGTAAATGGGCTGAACAAACAAAGGTGAAAGTTGAAAAATCATGGAAATAAATCAAACAACAGGATAGAAAATGAATCAAGATATATAGAACTAGATGTTATGCGAGTTTTCATAAGCATGAAGAAGTTATTTAAATTACTACTGCAAGCAAAATTAAATTAGTTTTTATAGAAGAAAAACACAACAGTTAAGGTGAATAAGAATCTGGGTAGAGGTACCCATCTACTATAAGTACGCTCAGACTAAAAATATTACATTAGATTTAGAAGGTTGATGAGAGATTCTCATGTATATGCAAAACAATCACTGATGAGAAAAAAATGTGCAGTACCTGAGTGATCAGATTTGGAAGCATGAACAGAGGAAAGCGAAGAACTGAAAACAGTGAAAGTGATGTGAATGCCTTTGCAGGTGTCAGTTCGCCTCCAAGAAGAGAGTACACCCCAAATGATATTACAGTAACAACAACTGGAATGCTGTTGAGGATAAATGAGTTGCACTGCAATAGCAGTAGCAAGTGAGAATCAGGAGGATAGCAAGTTTGAAGAAAACAGCAGACACATTTGAGTTTAGGTCGCGCAGTTCCACAGATAAAACAAAGAAATGCTAGCAAGAATTGTCGGGATATTATGTTTATATACCGCTGCAAGTAGCTGAGCGCTCCGGAACCATGAAAGTTCATCATTGCGAATGCTTTGCACTTTAGACTGGAAGCTGTCTTCCCATGCATAACATCTGTGTTTCAATCAAAGCATAAAATGACCCACAAAATTAAAATTCTAAAACAATAATAGTGTGAATCAAGTCACAACATACTTGACAGTGTCCATAGCAGCCAATATTTCATTCATCATGCCAATACGCTTATCAGTACGTTGTAAACCCTCCTTATTTAACTTCTGCATTTTGCTGATCACAATTGTCTAACACAATGAAACAAAACAAATAAAATATTAGACATAGGGGGGAATTTTTAAACAATAAATTTCTAAACAAAGGAATTACTATCCATAGCTTTCTCAGGAATTTTTCTGTGCTACAGACACAAGACATACAAAATGGAATTTTTATCTCAGGTAGAAAAGTCAAAGTGTAATCATACATTGGAGTTGAAAACTAAAATGAGAGAACCCTAGCTCCACTCCTATCCCCAAAAATAAAACAGAAAAGAAAGAAAAGGGAAATGCATAGACTTGTTGGCCATTTAACTAGTTGGTTCTGACCACTGCTGCAGGCCGTGTATTTCATTTTATTATGGAAGCACATATAACTGAATAACCAGAAAATACACAGACTTAACCAGAAAAGAGAGAAATTTTGAGTCATCAAGAATCAAGCGTACTCCATGAAGAAACAATTGAACTGGAAACTTAATGTTTGGTAACTACTGGGCTTAAATCTGGGTAATGTGCTATGATTAAGCAGAGGTGTCAGTTGGCAATATGACGCCCATCAGAAATCTCCTTGTGTTAGAATTGGGACTACAACAACCGGCTTCATAGGCTCACGTCCTAACCATATGCCGGCTGTTAACCATTCTTTGTCAGGGCCCATATAGACTTGGTCCGGGAAGTAAATTTCTCAATAACACGAAGCCAGGACTATCACTATTATGCATAGACAAGGACAAGTAAACACATGAACCACACCTCAAGTCCTAAAAGTTAGGACATGAGATTATTTTTTCTATACCAGCATTCCTTTTTTCCAATAAAAAGATCAAAGGCTTGTGTGATGGATTGTGTGATGGATCCCTATCTAAACCAGTGAGAAGATGCAGCATACAAAGTGATTTCATAACTAAGCAACCAAGTCAATAAAAGTAGAGGGAGATAATAAAGCTAAGTACCTGTATTGGAAACATTAGGACCAGCATCAATGACCCTATAAGGGAAGCAACCCCTAGCTGCTTGTAGAGAAGGATGATGGCTATTATAATCCGAAAAGGAGCTGACCATAGATTATTAAGCTGTTGGCAAACTTGCTGCCAAAGAAAAAGGAAAAAGAAAAAAAACTTCAGTCGTGAACCAGAAAATGCTGAATTCCACTTTCATGGAGAATAAGATGCAGGTTGTTTCCATATAACAGACGAACACGATTTTTTTTTACCAACATGAGCTGACGCAAGATTCTCATGGAAGATTTGCAACACATTAAGTGAAAACTACAATCATCGTTCAACTTATAAATCATCTTCACTGATACAAATAAAAGTATCCTAATACTTGTTAAGCCTTTATTCTAAAGCTCAAAAGTCAACAACCAATTAACAACTAATATATCCTAATACTATGATCACTGTACAACTTATAATACATGTTGGCTGATACATATTAAAATATCCTAGGACTCGTTAAGCCTTTATTCTAAATTTCAAAATTCAACCAGCAATTAACAATTAGTAATGACATATTGTCTTCAGTTGTAAGAAACCAGTAACTCATTTGACAAAAATAAATATAGTCCATCAAACAACAGCTATAGAAAATTGGGGAGCACAATTTGCATGTAGTATATACTTGGACACAAAATGTTCTACCAATAGATACAGAGTATTTGAGCACATACTTGAAGTGATTCTGCATCAGTTGTCATCAAATTAGTTATCTTTCCAGAAGCAAATTTTCTTCGACCCTCGTGTGTTAATCTCAGTGACTTGCGGAACACTGCAGCAACCTGAAATTGTAACTTGTGAGTATACAGAGAATTTTAAGATAAAAAGGTCTTCATGGACGTTTATGAACCATGAGAAAAGTATATACCCAGAAGTAAATTCCTTGACAATTTTCAGGTTATCATCTAGATAATTAAATTTTAGAAAACATGAGCAAACTGTTTAAAGTGATACATGAAATTCACAGCAACTTCAGCAAGTCCGATCAGGAAGGCAAACATGATTACAGAGAGCAAAAAGTGAGTGTTTAACCAATGAACATACAATAGCAACGACATCTTTATCCCAAATTTATGGGACCGGCTTATTTAACCAAAAAACATTAACATTAAATTGATGTTGTTTAACAAAGGATTTATTCCTTTAAGAGCTAATGCAAATTAAAAACAGTATTCCAGTCGTTCATATTATTCATCTGAGTGATACGAATGAAGAGTATGGCGGTGGAAAAAGTTTCACTAGAATAGAGTAGTTTTGAAGTTAAATGTGTGCTTAAGTGCATGGAGATCAGGCACGAATTATACATAAGGACAGTTGGTTTACACTGAGAAAACAGTAAAAGTTTAGGCAGGTCATTATTTATATGTCCTCAGCTGGTAAGCAAACTCTAAATAACTCTGTGTCGGCTATAATTCTTTGCCAATGAAGAATAAATTTTTGTTACTGCCTTAGTCGGCTGGCAGGTACAACCAACAACAAGTCAAGGGATAAATTAACTACTATTTCAAATAAGCTCGCCATGGACTCTCTACATTGTCATTAAGGGAGCTAAAGAAATGTATATCTCGCAACAAGAATATGATGCATCTTGCTACATTGACAAAAGCAACGATTCTTCACGTGCAGATATGTTTTAATATGCTACTTCTATACAAAAAATAAAGATGGACAAGGAAGGAAGCATCAGTAGGAACCATTGAGCGTATTCACAATGATATTTGTGTTTCGATTTTGAAGTTGAATACATAGAATTCATAAAGCAACCATCAAGGAGAAATTGGCAAGATACAGATAATGAAGTGAAGAGGAGAGGAAGAAGACTCTTCTAAAGCAACATGCAGAATTAGAAGATGAAGTTAGCATTTAAGTAAAATTGATTTAGTTGCAGTTATTTTTTATGGTTTCTGAAGATCGAATTAAAAGTTAAATAATTATACATCTTTACATTAACTTCATGTTCATTCTAGGAATATGAGAAGAACAGATATTAACATTATCTCTCACAAGTTATTACTCAAGTTACATGGCAGGCAAACAAGTCACGTCAGAAAAAAGGAAAATGGAAGAATATTACTCAAGTTATTCCTCAAGTTACACAATGGAGAAACATAATAATAATAATAATAATAATAATAATAATGGAAAATGACATTTTCAAAACCTCTTTGACAAGAATAAAAGTCAGAACCTCTGGGAAGTCTCCATAAATACAAATATTGGATGTCTAACACACCTCACCATAAAGATAAGTTATTCATAATGCTATGAATTTGAGACATAATGCCTCATACTCCACACATCCAATATCACTGACGTCACTTTTGCTGTCTTTATTTTTGCTACTAGACTCAGATACAGGTAATGTAGCTAAGCCTAAGCTAGATATAAAACCACAAAAATAGAGCTCTTGCATGTTCTGGATACCGATGCACACATTAGTTTGAAAGAAACATATAGTTATTGTAAGTGGACAAAAGAACTGAGTAAAAAAAGGTAGTATAAACAAATTTAATCATTTTTCAAAAGTATAATAGTATAAAATGCTTGATTCCAGAGTCATAGATCAAGTAGCACTATTGCAAGAGCAAAGATGGAGAAATGTGTAGCCTACATAAGAACATACTTGAGCATTTGACATGGAAAAGATGAATACATATGCTATCAATGCAAAAGAAAATCCAGACCATGTTGCATAACATATGGCTCATGTGCTATTGTTAAAGAAAATGAAAAGCTATTGGCTCACACGATTCAACAATGAAAGGGAAAAAATGATTGTGAGTCCACTACCCAGTTTTATATTAGGCTGACCAAATCCCTATCAGTCGGCACTTATTGAGACAATTAAATTGTCAGGATGTCCCTCGTCATTAGAACAGTCAGTGAAAACTACCACTTAACGTATAGTATAACAAAATTCAAGTTATTTGCTAATACAGCATCTGGCTGCCATGAATCACTCAGCCTCCATTATTATACGGCTGAACAATCTACACCGATGAGTAGCTAAGGTTCATCAAAGAGTACATGGGGTATATATTATAGTTGGCTACATTTTATTCATTTCCTGCAATAACTTAAACGAGTGGCATGTTATTTATTAGGATCCAAAAAAGCTTGAAATGTTATAAGGAATATATTTCCTATATATAATATCCCAAAACTAGTAAGCCTAGTACTGATGGTTGACCAGTGAAACTTGTACATCAAACATAGCAACGAAAAGTTTACAACATACCAAAGTAGATCTCAACCGAAACCCAACACGCATAACATTTTGAAAATACTGTGCTTCGCATAGCACCCCCAGTGCCTGAACGAAAAAGAGAAAATGTGAGGGAGCAAAGCATACCTTTCAGCAGATACCAAACTATTTACCAACTCAATATAATACTGATGCTATGCAAACCCATGATGATATTATTTGCATCAAATATGCATATTCTTCAATTAAATAGCAGAATACAAGGTAACGCAGAAAAAATAGAACAAAAAAGTGAAAATGATATCTAAAGAAATCAAATTTGTGATTGCCCAGAGATGCTAGAAAAGAGAGAAAGGTTTCTTCTATCAGCATTGTCTGCATCACAAAATTTAGAAAGTAATTACCTTAATCTCACATGATTATACAAACGTAACGAACAGATTATTGGTTAAACTAATATGTTGTTTTGGTTAGTTACTAAAGATCTGTGGGCATGCTAAAAAAAACTAATATTTTTTTGGGAAGGACTAGCTCTTTTAGATGAAGATGGGGAAAAACAGACTTGCAATAAGAAAAAAGGACAAGTTCCATGATTGTTATTCATAAATAAGTAAACAGTACTATTCATCCTATCGAAATACCTTACTAACCACTTCAAATAATATAAGTATAAACACAATTTTCCAGTGAGGCATTCCTAATTTTCCAGTCAGAAACACAGGCCTGATTCAATTTTTTTACCCAATAGAACCTCAATTTCCAATCCATATATCACAATGGACAAAAGTTACATCGATGTTGTGTAATATCATATTCTTTCACGCTTTTCTTAACTGAGATACAACAGGAGTGTTACATCAGGAGCCAAAGGGCCACAAGGAACTTTCTTGGAAGTTGGAACCTTGAAAACCAATTAAGACCTTATCCAGGGATATTACCCATGGAAGCCACTTGTTTACTAAGAACAAGAAACATTTCTGTTGAAAATATAGGCAGGACTAGGAGAGAAGAGATGTCCATCTCACTATTATGAAAATGAATAATGGTGCCCTTTGGAGGTAATTTACAAGATTTCCGTATGGTTATTAAGAAGAATCAAGTTGCCATTTGGAGACACTTAGTGTGTTTAGCAAAATGTCAAAAACTGGGCCAGGATCAGTCCTGGCCCAGTTGCATTCTAAACTGGTTTTAATTTGGACCAGGGAGGGCTGGTCCAAACTAAAACCAGTTTAGAGGGCCTTTTTAGCTTACAAAAACTGGGCCAACATTGGCCCAGTTTATTGCCAAACAAAAAAGCACCAGTCCTGGCCCAGTCAAACGCACTCGTCTAGTAGGTAGATCAATGTGGTATAGACTATGCTCAACAATGCAACAATTAAGGTGAGAAAAAGTGAAAGGAATAAAAAGCCTTCAGCTATCATAATAAACTTCTATCAAGGATCGAAATTAAGTTCGCATGAACTTAAACTGGGTACATTGAACTAAATAGCCATGACAGTTCTAGTTGTTTGCTAGTGACATTGTATTATTGCTGAGGTTAGAGAGGGATAAATACACAAACAATGAAGAGTTCCACATAAAATTAAGAATGTAACTCATGGTTTAATTCAGATATTATAAAATGCATAAATACCAAGTTTATTGGCAATCTTTAGGCTCCAAATCAAAAAATAATCAATAATACCATTTTTGTCCTCTTCATTTGTATGGATCTTGAAATCCTTGATTCCTTGGTTTCTAAACATTTTATGCTGAATAATACAGTATGTATCTTGATGGTGATTTTCAACTTCAATTGTGAAATGTTGCACTGTCCAAAGTATCCTTCTCCATTATAGGAATTATTCCCTTATAAACCTGATCATTTGACACCATCCTGGGAGGAACTATTTCCCCCAAAAGATAATAAAAAGATATGTTAATTTTTGAAAAACACTCATAATGACCAAGAAGAGTAGAAAACATGAGATACTTGCCATATATTTATTCGATATTACTCATATATTCTTCCTGCTTTATATAACTGCTGCTATGGTGGCTGTGAGAGATGAGATTGACAAACATTAATAGAATACTTGTCATATTATATGCCATATTACTGACTTATGCTTTTGGGATGAGTAGGTGCCAGAAGATAACAAAAACAGCAAATACAATTTTACAAGCAGTTCAAACGTTGCCACATATTTCTGAAATAAGTTTGAGATTTCATAGGTACCCTTTAATAAGGATGTTGTTGATAAGGCATGATATGGAAATATAAGAGTAAGCTGAAATGATTGGAACATGAACATCGGAAACAATGTAACTCTATAGTATTTTAAGGTTCATACCACTCCAGCAAAAATTGAGAATGCATAAATGTAGCCGTTCCACGATGGATCCCCTTTTTGCATAGACTGCACATAATAATAAACAGCATATAAATTTTTCATTAAATCACAAAATCATAGAAAAGGTATAATTAAAATGAAAAAATGCATCATTGTCCAACTAAGAAAAAAGGAATAGACGTTCCAGATACATTGCTAAACTCTCATATCAAAATCTTAAATTTTCTCCAATTAGCATCCTATCAAGTATCAACATAAAAAAGTAATTGTTTGTGTGCCTGTTCACAAAAAATTCTGATTTCTCAGAAATTTATATTATGTGCTTTGTGCAAAGGAAAATCACTTCATCACTTTCTAGCATCAGGGAAATTATGAATTAATCTGTGGAGCCTTGTAGATGGACTCCTCGCTGTTATGCACCAGGGAAATTACGGCTTGTTTTACTTTGTTTGTTTCCTTATCTAATTATGGCTTTGTTTGTTTCAACATTAAAAAACAGGGTGCGCTTACAATCAATAAGATTAAACATGCAGCTAAAGGAATTAGATATGTGAAACTTCAATGGAATCTGACCTCAAGAAGCAGGTTAAGAATTAGCGGGCCCACAAACTGAGAAGCATCATTGCCAATCTACAAAATCCAAAGAGAGAACATAAAATAGTCCAAACTCAATGAAAGAGCGTAATTTGCAATGTGTACTGTAACATGACTAAGAGATCATTAATTTGCCGTAGCTACAATTCACTTCTGAATGTTCCTTTGACAAAAATCTTTTTCAATCAAAAAGAAAATAACTATTCAAAGTAATTATATGTCCAGGCTGGAATTCAATCAAACGTCTCACAAGCACGAAAAAGCCAATATGTATGTAATATTTTCTCAGCATCTGCGAAATCATTGTACATGCCTTTATATAACATGCCAGTCATCTTCAACGAACATGTTATACATACATTTTGCAGATGAGAATAAACAATTTGCTCAACTTGCAACTAATTAGATCTTCTTCATAACTGAGAGAAAACTGATGCTATAAGTTAGTATTTTTAAAAGTCAACATTTCTATTAGCATTTCTTTGGTTGAGAGGAGAGAAATCTGGCCTCAAGGATAAGATTCAATTAATTATATTCTAAAATTTTCAAAAAAAAAAACATTTTTTCATATGTGGTTAGGACAAATTTAATGTACATAACTGAATATTCACTAACGGAAGTGAGTGAAGATTAATGGATGGGGTTTCAAATGTAATGTACAAATTCTTTTCAAATTATGTTTGAGCATGCTCTGTTGAGCATTTACATGGTTGAAACTTAAGTCTCGAGTTGAGTTTTGAGTTTGCTTTTATCTATAATTTTTTATTTGCAATTGGCAAGACCTGTGAGGCCTATAAGTCATTAGGGTTATTTTGTTGATTTAAGACGCGACAGGAACTAAAGTTGTGTGGTGTTGATTTGTTATCTTTGTCTAATCTTACACTTAGGTGTCTTATAACCATTTGGGGATTACTAGTGAAAGCATAGTATCTATTAGTTATAACATTAATGCCTCAAGGACCCAAATAGGGGACCCAAGGCATGGGACAGGTGAGGTGTCAACACCCTAGTTATAATTTGTGTTGTTTCTTAATGCAAAGTTAAACAGCAAAGTTAAACAGAAGGTAATGTGAGCAGTAGGTAAACAACAACTTTTCAGAAGAAATTTAGCAATATATAGTGAATATAAAAAACATTCAGTGAGTATACTATTTAAATTAAAAGAACATTACTAGATAGACTTGAAACGATGTCAGTACAAATAAATTCATAACTCCAAACTATTACCTTGAAAAAACCTCCAAGCAAAAATCTGCAGCCAAAGCAATATTACATAAGAATTTATCGGGTCATAGAAAAACCATGAAAGTTGTTATAGAAAATGTATAGCACATTAAACAGAAATTTTCAAGTTTCAACCACAACCAACAGCTGACATGAAGAAAGAAAATTGAACCATCGAAGCCATACCTTCCCCCAAGACTAAAGCATAGTGCTCTCAAAAGCCACGGTTTTGGCTTTATTGATTCATCAGACCAGCATTTCTGGAACCTGGATAAAATATTGCATTATAAGAGTATACAAGACAAAGGTCAAGTGATTAAGAGGATACCCAAGAAAGATGATTACCGGCTATACAATGTCTCCGTCTCATCCCATGTATCTAATCTCCAGACATCCTTCTCAGTAATAGGCCTCTTATATCCCAGTTGCATGATTGGAGTCATCCATGTGAAAAATATTTCTGAAAGAATAAAAGATGACACGGTTACATTATGCAGACGTCAGCACGAGCAAGGATCAATTCCACATGTTTCCAGCTACACGTTGTAAAAGATTAAGTTCTATATGCTTACTTGAAAATACATTCACATGTCTCTCGGGGCAAATTTGTTCTCCTCCAGGAAGCAGTTCATAGTCTGTGTTATCAACAAGGGCTTCAGCTCTAAGGGGTGTATAACCCGGAAAAGGATCCAGAGTAGGGACATAGAGCAGCAAGAGGATTCCAAACAAAAACTGCATGAAGAGAATATCTATAACTAATAGCACACATTTAAGGGAATAAACATGAAAACAAGTAGAAAATACTTTCGTAATCATAGATTGAAGATTAAGAACTGCATGTTTAAAACAATCCAAATGTCTAAACAAACCTGACAAACTATCTCGCTGGTGTACAGATAGAACACCGATCTGCACAAGACAAAGAGAGTATGGAAAAGAAGATGTAAGTTCTTTTCACTTAAACACGAGGTTCACAAGAGGAAAACTATTAATGTAGTATGTGCCTCCATCTAAAGTTAAATACATGAAAACAAAATAGATTGAGATTTTCAGTCCATAAACTTTACTAACTTCAAAGAAAATTGCATTAAGCTTACATTTTCGTGCATAGATGGCTACAAGGCCAATTTTCAGAACTTCGCATTGTGACACACTATCAAGCATATATACTCTGTTTCTATTAACAATCTATCCTGTTCTTAGGAGAAAGAAATCTAAAGATGGGGCAAATTAAGTAATTTATCTGCACAAAGAAATTAACAATTGTTTTAAACAGATATTGCATTGTAGTAGGAGCAAGAAACCGAGAGAGTGAGTAACTCACTTGTCATAATACCCTCTAACGGAGACAACAAGATTGAAAAGAGCAGCTTCCCCCACCAGAACATATACAACTACAAAACGGATATACCACCGAAATTCTGTGATATAGATTTTAGTCTCCAATCCAATCATAACAAGCACAGAACACCAAGCGACAGCCTCAACTATCAGCGTAAGCATCTGAAGGGAACAGGAAAGAATTAAATATATAGAAAAAAGCCCTCAACTAGCCAAATTAGTGAAATCACGCTTCAAAAGAAGCACATTAGAAAACATTGTTCTGTTCAACAATGTCCGCCAAAGACCTAAATTTTCCAATGAGAATAAGGTCAGAATTTCAACCATACAAACAAAACTAATACTTGCTTCAAGAATTTGGCAAGAGTAGGAGGTTCCCTGAAAGGTAAATGATTAGCCCGTAGGGAAGGTAGAAGTTTAGGCAAACATGCAATCACTTTTTGTAGGATGAAATGGTTGTGGAAGTAAAAGGATATATCTAAAAGCTTTTATACAATGGAAGATAAGTACAATTTTAAAAAAAAGAAAAGAAAAAAGGTTTTCTGGAAAAACATACACTAAGTGACAAGTTTAGATGAGATTCTGGAGGGGCATAGAAATATAGTAACATATAAGTGAGTGCACCCTAATGTTCACAGAAACTGTAGTGTGATACATTGCAAAATTTTGTTAACACTTATAGAACAGTTGCAAGACCAATAATTGAGAATGGTGAAAATCTCCCTCTTGGAAAGGGAAAGAAGAAGAACATTTGAAGGAATGTTGGACAGTAAAGATGATTAAATATTTATGAATTATCTCATAATTTGCATGAAGGTGCTGTGAAAACCAAAAGAATAGATCAGTAGTTGATTAGGAACGAAGCAACTAACCTCAAAGGGAGCAACACTGGTCTGTCCATCAAGATTTGAGACGGAGAAACCAAAGATCAACCTAAATAAAGGCTCTGCAGTACAGTAGGCAGCCAATATGCCCAGCATGTAATTGTAATAGTGAGACCTTAAGGAGTACCGCCGAACAGTGAGATCTCTCCCAGTACGCCATATGCGATAAAAGCACACACCAAAAAGAACCAGATGTGAGATCCCGACCACCAAGGTCTCGATGGCACAGGGCGTATAAGCACCAAAGGCATTCTCAACCACCTTCCCCCATATCTGGTTCTTCGCGGGCTGACAGTACCAAACCAGTGGTTCAAAACCCATTTCTTTCAGCTGGTCTCAGATAACCCCCAACACTTCAGACTCCCACCATATGCTTTAAACTCCTTTCAAGGCTTATTTGTCCTCAAGGCCTGAAGCAAGTAAGCAAAAGAAAAATAAAAAAAAAATAAGGCCCGGAAGCCGTCAGAAATTAAACTAGTGTGGATAAGCATGACTGGTCCGAATCACAATCAATGATGATGATGATGATAACAATAACTATTTTAGTAAGGAAACTTTCTCACAAGCTCTGGTTTAACTTTATTCAAATAGTAAAAATAGTGACGAATATCCAACATATTGATAACCAATCAAATGTTCTCACGGATTCAGAATGGAATGGAATGGAATAGTAGCACTTTTTTCAAGTTACAGCCAGAACAACTTCTTAAGCTTTACGACAATAGTTACCGAATTCAAAAAAAAAATCATCGCGTTATCTTGTTTTTAGGAGGAAAAAGAGGATAACCGTATCTGACATCCAATAAGTTAATGTTGTACAACAGCCAAGTTTTAACATATTAATTAGAACCCAGCAAAAAATAAAAACTACCCACAAAAAAAAAATCTAAGCAAAGACAAAGACTAGACAAGATTTTGATAAGAAATAATAATAGCAAAAGGGGAAAAAATTGAAAAATATCAGGGGAGAAACGTAAGAAGACTAATGACCCGAAACGAGATCAAAAGGAAGAATACCAATTCAAAATGCCTGATACAACTCCTACAGAGTGGATCCGACCAGTTAATCACACTATGTATACAAATATCCAGGCGATCAAAGAAATTCTCAATAATAAAAGAAGAGAGCAAAAGAAAGAGATAAGAGAGAGAATGGGTGGGCTGCGTTACCTCTGCTTGGCTCTGGAGGCGCCCTAGCAGATTCGGAGACGGTAAAAAAGTCCACACTCTCTCAGCTTCCTCCCCCCCTCTCTCTCTCTCTCAAATAATATCGCTCTTTTTATAATTGTTCCGCTCCTGTCCTCCTATGGAATCCGGTATCTATTTTATTTCATTATTATTATTTTTTATTATTTTACGACGAGAGGAGCGGAACGCGTCCGTTCGTCACCGCTTACGAATATATAAAGCAAAAGGAGACCAAAAAAAAGGCCAATGAACAAAAGTACACCTACCTTTGCAAATTGCAAAAAGAGTTCCTTTTACTAGTGTATAAACATAATTATAAATAAAAATACTCATTCAAATAGCGCGGCTGGTCAAACGACCGTGGCTCTCTTTTGGGTTCAGGAGGTAATTGGTTGGCATAATTTTAGGGTGAGTGCGATAATTTTGTAGACTTTATTTTATTGTGTTATTCATTGAGATAATAAGATTATGATTTCACTTTAATGTGTTATTCATTGGGATAATAAGAGTGGGACAATTACCCTCATTTTTCCCAAAATTATCTCACTTTCATACAAACTTCTTCTCCCAGCCTTCAAAAATTATCACATTCTTAAATTTGGAACAATCATGAGGGAAGTGTGATAATTTTGAAGCACTAATTTATTAAATATCTAATATATGTTAATTGTATTATAATATATAATATATTTTATTTATATTATATTATAAAAATCTATTATAATGTAATATAATAAATATTATAAAATATTATCTAATATAACATTCCCTAATTTTTGAAAATTTTGTACCTCAACCCCTCCAGCTCACCTCTCCCAAGTTTCAATGTATTTTACATCAAAATCTCAACTTTACCCTCAACTGCCTTCCTTATTTCTTCTTCTCCTCCTCCACTCCCCCTCTACCCCCTCCCCCACGCGCCGGCTCCCTCTCCCGCGCCGAGATCCGCCGCTTGTTGGGGTTTTTCTAATGGCCGACGACGGCATCGTCGACGACTCCGCCACCGTTCTCAGCTACGGACACCAACGACGACATCAACGACGAAGACGCCTCCCCAACAACGAAGTCGTCAACTCCCCAACCCACTCCAGATCCAACTCCTATAAGCACACAGCGTCCCCTTTCCCTATCCAAGCCCAGTTCGGCTAACCTCAGCCCCAACCTCACTGATTTATCACTGCCACCACAATACACTCCACCCAAAATGCACACCACATGTTCGACCTAATGACTAAACACCACGCCCAACCCTTACACCTCCCAATCTTTGAAATGTCACATCAGCCTTCAGCCAACGCTCCGCCTCCAACGTTACATGTTATCTGTGTAACTTAACAAGTTAACAAAAAAAAGGTAACATGTTATATGTGTAGCATACAAGTTAACAAAAATAGTTAACATGTTATCTGTGTAGCTTAACAATCTACCTACGAAAGTTAGCATGTTATATGTGTAACTTAACAAGCTACCAAGAAAAGTTAACATGTTACCTGTGTAACTTAACAATATAACAGAGTAACTTAACAAGCTAACAAAAGTATTTCAATAGTTAATGACATATATAAGTATTTCAATAGTTGGCTAACAAAAGTATTTCAATAGTTAATGACATATATAAGTATTTCAATAGTTAATAGGACAAATTTGTGCATCAATTTTATATCACATTTGCATTATAGTTCACATCCCTACAAAAATATTTCAGTTCATATACACAGCTACTACATACATACAAAAGTATTTAGGTATTACACACACCCAAAAGTATTTCAGTTCATACATACAAAAGTGTTTCACATATGCAACTCATATTAATCGGAGATCGGTTCGTTGCAAGTTGCTCGGTTGTGGCGATCGGTTCGTTACAAAAGTGTTTCAATTCCACATCCACCGTCGCTGCTCTTCCCTTTGCCCCTCCTCATCCCTCCAACTATCCTGCTCCAGCGACGGGCCCCACCCTCTACTGTCGATCGCTGGTCATTTCCGAGTCCGATATACCATCCGACACAGATTCAAAACCTAATAACCCAATAAGCCTCATCTACCACCCTTTGACTTCATCCCCATCGCCATTTTCTTCACTGAGTTTGATAGTAGATAAAATTTAACGTTTCACACACACACCAAAATCCTACAACAATTGCGGCACAAACAAACTCACACATACAAACACAAACACATTCCCTCTCAATTATTTTGACGATCAACCAAATCAAACCCCAACTCATTCCTCCTCACCAAGATCTCTCTATACGTGTACCTCAACAACTCCACCACAATATCCAAATACTCCTTCTCCGCCGTAATGAATAGCGTCGTTGCCCCCATCTCATTCAACTTGTTCACCATCACCGACCTGATGGTCGCCACCTCTACGTCAAACTCTGCGGTGTAGGTGGTACACCATTGGGGTAGGGAGGCTTCGTAACATGATGTGGGTGGTGTAACGTTGGAGGCGGAGCGTCGGCTGAAGGCTGATGTGACATTTCAAAGATTAGGAGGTGCAAGGGTTGGGCGTGGTGTTCAGTCACTAGGTCGAACATGTGGCGTGCATTTGGGCGGAGTGTATTGTGGTAGCGGTGATAAATCAGCGAGGTTGGGGCTGAGGTTGGTCGGACTTGGCTTGGATAGGGGAAGGGGTTGTTGTGTGCTTATAGGAGTTGGATCTGGAGTGGGTTGGGGAGTTGACGGCTTCGTTGCTAGCTAGGGAGGCGTCTTCGTCGTCGATGTCGTCGTCGATGTCCGTAGCTGAGACCGACGGTGGAGTCGTCGGTGATGTCGTTGTCGGCCATTAGAATAACCCCAACAAGCGGCGGATCTCGACGCCACAGGATCAGAGAGGAGGAGGAGGAGAGTAGGGGTGAGCACGGTTCAGTTCGGATCGGTTTTTATTAAAATTTGAACAACCGAACCGAACCACCTACAATTCAAAAGCGAACTGAACCGTTGCAAATCGGTTCGGTTCGGTTTGTTCGGTTCTAACTTCATCAAGTATAACAAATCAAAAGCACAAATATAACCTACCCCAAGAGTTTATATCCAGGAATCCAAGCAAATAAACATAGCAGCAAGTTTAATAGATAACCAAGTTTCAACCGAGCAAATAGTTCAACAAAGTAATGCTCATGACAGCTTTGTACAGTGAATTAGGCAGAAGCAAACGAACGCAACAAACCATATTCGACAACTTTGTACAGTGAATACAACTTTCATCAAGCACTTCATGCTGGTAATGGATCATCTTCTTGTTGTTGCTGACTTCCATTATCCATAGATTTTTGAGGCAATTATGATTAGCAAGTTTCAATAAAAAAAATCCATAACAAAAACGAAAATAATCAAATCCATAGATGAATCTTTTGAATTGGGATCTTTGTTCTGATTAAAAGAGTTGGATTCATGGTTTCGAGATCCATTACCAGCATCATGATAAAAACAAAAATAAAATAGATTAGAATTGAAGGAAGCTTGAAGAAGAGCAAAATAGATCACTGAGATGTTACACCTCGGCCTCGGTGACGGTGACGGGTGCGGATGTCCCCCCCCCCAAAGTCAGAGATGCATCTTGAGCCTGATCCTGAGCCGGAGACAGATCCATGAAGAATCGGAGACTGCGGAGCGTTCGCGGCACGGGTAGCCTGTCGGCTGAGGAGAGTGAGAGAGAGTGAGAGAGGCGGACCGCAGCTGGTGGTTGTTGGTTGTCGTAGGTGGCGGGCCTTACGCCTGTCAGCTGAGGTCCTGAGGAGAGCGAAAGAGAGATTGAGGGAAATGGGAGTGGCGGCTGGGACTGAGAGTGAGAGAGGAAATGAGGAGGTTAGGGCAACTTGAGTCTTGAGGGTTGGGTACGGGTAAACGGGTAGGGTTTGAGGAAGGGGAATATATTCGGTTGGTTCGGGTTGGGTCGGTTTGAAAAGTTATCAATCGGACCCGAACATCCTTACTCATAAAATCGCTTTTTTCGGGTCGGTTCGGTCGGTTTTTTTGGTTTGAACCGAACCGTGCTCACCCCTAGAGGAGAGAGTTGATGGACGGGGCAGAGGGGGAGTGGAGGAGGAGAAGAAGAAAGAAGGAAGGCTGTTGAGGGTAAAGTTAGGATTTTGATGTAA